TTCCTGCTCCTCTGATGCTGCTTGGCCTGCTGTGTTCATCCAGCTCTACACCTTGTTATCTAAGAGTGAATGTCACCTGTTATGTATTCCAAGCATTGGCTAAGGATCACGTGTATAACTCAAGAACAGTTTCTGAAGACATTCTAGACTGGACATTTTGTGTCTATGTTACCAAAGAAAAGGAACAGGAGAAAAAAGGGTTAATACAATGACTGTGACCCAGGAACTGAAAAAATGCAGGAAGTGAATGGCAGAAAGTATAGCTAAGGATGTGCTGTTGTAATGAATAACTCAAGGTGGCAGCATAAGGAGCAGTTTGGAGACTGTACAAAGCAGGCCAGTGGGAAAAACTTTGGTCTGGAAACAATTTGCTATGTTCAGGCTCACACAGGTTATGCAGCTTTCAAAATTAGCCTTATGAGGTTGTTAGTCATCCAAACAACTTTGAAAAATCTTGCAAGGTAGAAATTTGCTGATTGACTTGTCGAATAAACAAATGTGTTTAATTCAACAGCTTGAAAGATAAACTTTTAGGTGATTCTGGCTCTTAAATCAGTGTATAGTTTTTTTTTTAAAATCCAGTAGAGGCTATCTTTTTATCTGTATACTTTCCAGTCCTGCTAACGTTCATCAAAGGATGCCTCACATTACACACTTTTTCGAGAGTGTGACTTGAACCAAAATTTCTCAATGCACAGAATCTTAAGTAGGTTTCCAGTCTCAAAGCTACAAGGCTTTTTCATTTAATGCCCAAATGTTTCATTTTTGAACTTCCATTCTGGCCAGGCTCCACAGCTCCTCCTCCTCCCAGCCCCAATTCCCCTCCTGTGGCATCTTTACTTCCTTGCTGAATGCCGATTGTAATTTTGATCTGTAATGGTGGCCCAGGCTTAAATGCTCACACAATTGAAGCTTTGAAATGAAAATCTCCCTGCATTTATCTTAACGTCCATGTTGAACAGACTGCTACCAGTGCCTGGTATATGTCTCTGCAATTTAAGTATCATACTGACTGTTCCCAAGCTATATTTAGGTTAGTGTTGTAATCTTCCTTTTTATGCAGTTTATAACCTTTCAGGCTTGCATATTATTCCGTACAGTAGCTGAAGTCTACATGAACCAGATGTAGTTCAACAGGATTCTCTCCAGGAAGAAAATAAAAGACGGAGTACAAGAGGAAAGGAAAGGACTGAAATGAGGAGGAGTTTTGTGGGGGGTGGGCATAAATGTTTGAATTGTAGGATCAGTTCTCTCCTTCCTCCCCTAAATAAGTATTTGTGGCAATTATGAAATAATTGTCCACTATCCTTTTTTGAGAAGACGTTGACAACATGTTGTATTTATATAGCACCTTTAGCTTGGCAAAATGTCCCAAGATGCTTCACAGGAGCCCAATTTGACAAAGATGTATACAAAAGCCTAATAAAGAGATATTAAAAGAGGGAACAGAAAACTTGGGGGCCAGGGGGTGGGGGGGTTGGTTTTAAAATGGATGATAAAGGAGAAGGGGAAAAGGTGGACATCCTCTAATGTTAATAGGTTCTCTTTTTATTAATAAAGATCTAAATGCCAATGTAGAACTTCTGTAACAGAAATGTCTGTTGTTACGTGCCAATCCATGGCAGAGGCTAAAAATATCTAAATTACTTATTTCTTGTTGTGCCATCTCAATTCTACAATGTAACTGTCAATCATATACAAACATCTGGATCAGACAGAACTGTGTAGGAACTTCTCTTGGATTCAAGGGATTTCAAATCTTGTCCATATTAGTGCTGCCATCGATCCCATCCCCACTATTCCCTTCCCCCAAGCCACATAAACCAATATTAATGCTGCTTCATCTTAAGAAAATGAAGTTTGGCATAATTTTTGTGCAGCCAGAACTTAACAACATAATGAAACATAGAAACTTAGAAAATAGGTGCAGGTGTAGGCCATTCGGCCCTTTGAGCCTGCCTGACCATTCAGTATGATCATGGCTGATCATGTAGTTTTGGCATCCCACTCCCACTTTCTCTCCATACCTCTTGATGCCTTTAGCTGCAGGGCCGCATCAGGCTCCCTCTTGAATATATCTAAAGACAGGTTGCCAGAAAGTGCTTTAGGACAATGCAGCCATTAGTACAATGAAAGGAAAGTGACTTGTTCTGATCTGGAATACATTGCCCAGAAACGTGGAAAAATAGATCAATTGGTAATTTTCAAATGGAAATTGGGTAACTATTTGAAGAAGAAGAATTTGAAAGTCTATGGGGAAAAAACAGGTGAATGAAACTATTTAGGTAGCTCTTTCAATGAGCTAGCATAGGTACAAAGGAGCAAATGGCCTCCTGGTGTAGTGTAAAACACTGTAATCCTAAAGCATGCCTAGACTTGGCTTGGTTGCTCATTTTTCTTTTCCTTTATGAGGAGATGATGCTATGTTTGCCACATTTTTTTAAAATTAGGGTTGTTAGTTCACCAAGATGATGAGCAAAGCAGGCAAGATTGTGTTTGGAATAGCATTACTAGAAGTGTTATAAGGTGAGCTATAATGCTGAGCCTGCCTAAGATAAGAGTTCATTTTATTACTGCAGTTCAAAAGCCGGAACTTAAATGTCATTGAAATTGAAAGGTATAATAGAAAAGTTTTGCTCTGGCCAGAATGGAAATAGTTAAAGCAATGAACTTCGCTGTCTAAGTGATTCATTTCATCCCTAATGCAGTGCTTAGAGCAACTGTCCTTGTACAGATAAAGTTGTCATTTTATGTAAACAAAACCTGAAAACTGAACAAAAAAAATGTACTTTGTCGGAATATTGTTGCAAAATGCCTGTAGATTTTGATTGCCTTACAAATTAAAAAGAGTTTGACAAGATCTCCAGTATCTCAAGTGGTTTAACCTAATGTATAATTTGATAATAAGCTACAGAGACTGAGAATGATCCATCCTAGGTTTGGGCTGAGGTAACTGATCTCAAGCAGGTCATGAGTAGCTGCAGACAAAAATGATTGAGCAGTCTGCTGGATTTCACAATCTAGGCTCAGTGTCCCTTTCACTTATCAAGACACTATAGAAAAAGTTCCACTTAAGTAAGCATGATTTAATATTAGGTCATTTTTAATTCATCATCTTCAATTATTCTTGCCATTACTATCCCCAGTGGCAATTTGGCGTAGGACCATTCTTCTCTCGTTTCATTCTTGTAGAAAATACAGGAATTGCTGATGAAAGCCAGAATTGTTGCCTATTCCTAATTGCCATGATTGACTCTTAACTGCCCTCTGAAAGCCAGCCACATTGCTGTGGGTCTGGAGTCACATGTTCCTGAAAGGACATTAGTGAATCCGTAGGTTTGTTTACACAAATGATAACATGACTGCCATTAGACAAGCTTTTAATTTTAGATTTTATTGAATTCCAATTTCACCACCTGCCTTAGTGGGATTTGAACCCAGGTCCCCAAGAACATAAGTCTGGAACTCTGGTTTATTAGACCACTGACATTACCACTATGCCATCACTACCCTGGCATATAAACAGTATAGGGCATTCAGCATTTGAGCCTGTATTGCCATTTGGTTAAATCTTGGCTGATTCTTTTTAAACTCCATGTTAACTGTCATGGTTCCATGTCCCTTAATATCCTTACCTAACAAAAACCTATCAGACACAGTTATGAACTTTTCAATGGACCATACCTCCATACAATGTCCAACATGAGTTCCAGATTTCCATTCTGTGTGAAGAACTTCTTCCTGACACTATCCTTGAATGTGTAACTCTAATTTTAAGGATTTACCCCCCTATTCTGGACTCCCACCAGAAACACATCTGGTTCTTTTCTCCTGTGCTTCCAGAGTGCATTAACATATGGGCCAATCGGTTCATGTTGATCAAATATGGCGTCCTTGGTAACACCCCCCACAGAACAAAGAACCATTGTATTATTGCTGGTTCAAACTAGGCAAGCAATTACAACGGTTTCAGATAGGTCCAAGGCAGAGTCAGTTGCCATAAGGTATTGATGGACTCGGAGGGGAGTTGCAAAGAGGACCCTGATTATTCCTGTTGTCTTAGGCACCAAGATTTGTTTATCTGGCTCAGAATGTTTACAACTCCACATGCTCCTTGTTGACACGACCAAAGCTTGGTACAACAAAAAATCTATCATAATATTGCTCAATCTTTTCACTGTTCACAGTTGGGAAATCTTAACATATTGGCCATTAAACTTTGGAGCAAGAAAAGCTTCAAAAACTATGACAAAAAGAATGAAGCAATGGATAATTTGTATTACCGATTTGGTAAAAGAACAGGAAGCAAATTTTGTAAGGAATTATGGGAAAAGTGGTAATGTGAATTTGCCTCCAATAGTTTACATGTCAATGCGTATGTTATCTCCCATAACATAAGAAACTGGGCATGGATATTGTGGTATTGAAGAATCCAATA